GATGGGGAAGGCAGTAAGAAGAATGGAATTGGAGGGAATATCAGTAATTCAGTTTTGATCATGTTATGCGATGCCTACGAGACACCTACTTGAAATAGGCCTTTGGATATGAGCCTGGAGCTCAGAGAAATGTGGGCTGGTATGGGGAGAAGGGAATTAAAGAATTGGTGTGGAGGTATCAGATTAAGTGAACTGGTGGTGTTCAGAGGGTTAGATGCTGGAAATCAGAATTATGGACATGGAGCAGTTATTGGTGACAGGAAGTTCTAGGGGAAGGTGTAACTGGGACATAGGAACAGCTTGTTGGAGAAAAGAAGAAGTTTAGATTGAAAGACAGGGTATTGGATGGATCTGTGTACATGGGTGATGAAGTGTGGAAGAATTAGTGAGAGGATGGGGAGGGAGTGAGGTGTTCACCTCCTCAGTGAATGAGGGGAGTGATCAGGAAGACAGCACATACTTGCAACAGGAGAGGTATCAGTTGTGATAATCTGGCTGACCTGGGGCGGAGAAAGGTGACCTGGAGATGATAGGACACAAGGAGGATAAACTCCCCTTCCAGGTGCGGTGTTAATGGGAGGGCAAGAAAACACTGTGGTACACCTCACATAAGATCAGTGGTCCATCTTAGCACTTAGAAACCATGTAGCATTAACTACAGTTTGAATTTTTGACTTTGCAACAGCTCAAGTTGTTTGCCTAGCTACTGTCTAGATTGGTAAGGGATCATTCAGTTCTATTTTAGATGAGTGGTTCTCTCTTTCATTCCTCACCTGGGTGAATGCAGTGTCTGCTCACTGGCCCTTTGCATGCACTCCTGACCTCATTGTGGTCTGCTCTCCATACAGAGGCCAAAATGATCCATCTGTCTAGAGAAGGAACAATTGAGCTGAGCATTACTATAATTTGCCTCCATTTTTTGCTGTAACGCTATATACTGTTAGCTGACATGCATGGCAGGAGGAACTCAGTTTAGACATCATCTCATACTTTTACCATCTACGTGATCGAAGGATTTGGTCAGAATTGAGGTGAGCCATTTTAAGTAATAGTTATCCTTCCTAACATCTGTATGTATGACAATAATAAAATGTTAATATTACCTTGAAAACCACATGATCTTTGAGCTGCACTTGAGGAAGTATGTGATTATGGCACTTTATTTACCCTCATCTAGTACATCATAAAGCAAACAAGTAGAATTTGAGAATGACATGGCTTAATGTTTGACTGTGTCATTTAGCATACAGGAGGTATGTGTGTAGATATCAGATTACTTAATTCTTTTCACTTGGTTGTTAATAAAATGTTGGCACTTTAGTGCATACTATCATACTTTTTTATGATGATAAACTGTAGTAGCATTTATATTAATTTTCTAGATGAAGAAACAGATTGAGAGAGGTTGGAAGATTTACCCAAGCACATAATGATAAGATGAAGCAAAGACGTAAACTACCATATTCTGATACCAAATCCTGTGTTTTTTCCACTGTTACAGTTCTCACTTCCTGCTAATGGAGGAATTTGAGGCCAACGGCATTAGTATAGACTCTGATAAAAAGGTTTTGTTATGAAGTTAGCATTTTCTGCTTTGGCTCACTTCTAAAATAAGTAGATGAAATTATGGCAGAGTGATGTGTTTTAGCTTTTGATGTAAGGCTTTGTTCTTTAGATGAGGCTGATGGTTCCTAATTTCACGACAACGGTCTTTTTCTACAGGGTAACCAGGCTTAACTTTTTTTTTTGGGTCTATTAGACATCATTTATTTGTCAAACTTGGTTTATTAAGTATTTCTTTCACTTCTTAATAAGTGCTTTTAATCAACATGAGAACTGATTTCTCACTGAGTTGATAGTGTCAGCTAAAAGCAAAGTGACATTGTTTTTGTTAGCCTGTATTGTTTATGTGACAAATGTATAATTTTTTTCATTATTGAAATATTTGAAGTAGTTTTTGCATTCCTTTAAGAGTCCCGGGGGCCCTTCCCCCCCCCCCCCCAATTAAGAGCAGTTGGAGATCTTATTTTGGAGTAGGATGTGTAAAGGTGTTAACAGTAAAGATGATGCTTACTGGCTTCCTCCTAGCATATATTTTCCTCTTGATTCTCTTAGAGCATTGTATCCTTTTACTTAGGATAAGGGGTTGTGGTATAACTGAAGCATCCACTTTCTGTATAATGCATGCCTGCCATGCTCCAGGGACTCCCCACTAGATTTGGGGGGTTCAAAGAGTAAATGCCATGTAATCCCTGTCTTGGAAGAGCTTATGCTAGTGTAAGAGGGAGACAGCATTGCTCTCTGAGTATAGTAGTAAGGTCTTCGTCACAGTGAGATGACTGGTGGTGGTCAAAGGAACCTTAGCAGAGGACACAGGTCTGGCGATTACAGGATAGGTAGGCTGTGGAATCCGGTAGTTCTCGTTTTGAATCCCAGTTCTGCTGTCAGAGAATCATATGATTTAGGGCAAGTTAAATCACTTCCTTAACAAGATTTTTCTCATCTGTAAAATGAAGATAATACCTACTTTCTAACTTTGTAAAGATTTGATAAGAAAATGGAAAGGACTCAGCAGCACATGGTAGGTACATAATAGCTGCTCACTAAGTCAAAGCTGCAGTTGTTGTTACTACTGCTGTTCCTGCTGCTGCGGCTGGGACTCTTACCTTTAAGGGTGTGTAGGGTTAGCTAGATAGAGAAAGGCAGAGGAGAATGGGCTTTCTAGAGACAGGAAAGAGGGTAACAGAAGACATGGGGACCAAAGACATTTGAGGAATAAAGTAATAGTAACTACTTTAAAGATTATATTGAAATGAAAATACATCATACATGAGTAGTAAAGCACATAAGCACTCACAAGTGGAGTCTGTTTTTAATCCACTTTATCCCCTGTGTAATTCCTTTTTTTACACATTTGGGTTCTTTTTGCATTTCTCACTCTATGGTTTCCTTCCCTGATTTCTTTTCTACTTGATGTGTTACTTCAAGATGTGTCGGACATCTTTCAGAGTTTAGTGGTCTGTTCTCACTTCTCTGATCTTTTCTGTTGGAGAACTAGAAGCTCTTCCGGCTTCCTCTGTCCCTGTGACACAGATGACTTTCAGATGTGTCAGTTGCCCCGACGACCTCTTTCCTAGGTTCCTCTCAATGAGATCTCATTGGCCTCCTAAAATTTCTACGTGACACATCCACCTACCTTTCCATAATGGTTTCATTTGTTCAGTTTCAGGAAATACTGGAAGGGGACTGATCTACATTTGTCAGATCTTTACTTTGGCAAGCAGTGGTATTTAAGAAAATAATCAAACTCCCATGTACTACATTTCATACAGAAAAGAACATTTTAACCTGAAAGTTTAGAAAGATGGTAATCTTAGAATTTAAAAATATGTAGCTTTAAAACCAGTGTAGTGAGTACTTCATTATTTTTCTTTTTGCTTCAGATTAATGAAAATGTAATAGATAATAAACACTGCTTTGGAGTAAGCCTTATTATGTCTTGACATTGATCTGTCAAAATTTGACTTTGATCATATTTTCCAGTGCTTAAAATGGCTCACCACTGCCTAACAGAAAGAAAAAAAAATCCTAATTTCTTAGGCCTTTACAGTTTGATTCCAGCTCTCTTTTCTAGTCTGTCCTTTCGTCATATTTCTCTTTTATCAACTTTAAAAAAATTGAAATAGTGTTGTTTGGATTGGACCCGGATTCAAATCTGACCCTGTCATTAGCTGTTTGGTCTCCACAGGTTATTGTAATGAGAAGGAGGAAAGCAGCCCTCGGCACCCGAGAGCTGCACGGGGCTGTCAGCTAGGCCTGGGTGATGCTGCTAGCTAGCCCGGCGCTTAGAGCTGGTTCTTGGTGTTCCGTTGAAAACAATTTCATTGACCGTCAGCATCAGAAAAGGCCATTCTGTGACCATGATGGGTCAAGACAAAAAATGTCCATGCCATCATCATGTCTGAACACAAACAAAACATGGTCATTGTCCAAGTCACAACATTTCCAGCGTCCTCCTCCTCAGACAAACATCACTTAGGGTTTCTGCTTAGCAATGCCAGCTTTATCTTCCTCCTAGGGAGCCTTCCTCTAGAGATGTGTTGAGAAACCCCGTCATAGCATTGTCTCGGCTTTCTGACATCACCCAGGGAACAGTGACCCTCTGCTTCTTTGTACTCTCACCCGAAATCACCTAGCCAAGTTCCAAATCCTAAGTAAGTCAGTTCTAATACCCCCTTACTGAGTCACCCCACAGTTTCCCAGGGTGTGTGTTCCTAATAAACCCAACTTGTGCAACTGGTGTGGGGGTGGAAGGTAGTGACAATAACTACTTTGAGCCTTATTTTTTTCTCATATGGAAACCAGGAGTAACACCATCTGTTTTGCAGAGTTATTATGAAGATTAGATGGGAAAATGGAAAGCACATGTAGTCCTTGCACTTTGTAGATACTCAACAAAAGCTTGTTTCTTGTCCTTTTGTAAAGTGGTCTGCTGTGATCTCTTGAACAGGGCTCCTGTTTTAACCCTTTCTTACCCATGAGTGCCCTGTTCTCCTCCTTCAAGACTATGTCCAGATACCTTCTATTCTGTGAAACCTTTACATCTTTTAATGCTCTCTTCTGTCTCTGACCTTCAGATATTATTGTTTTCTCCATTGACTCGACTGTTCATCGTACTTTACCTTGCAGCATCTTTGTACTTACCTTTTATTATTGAATTCTTGATTTTTCATATGCTTATGCCTTGTTTGTTCAATTAAAATGTTCTTTAATAATGAGGGCTTGGTTAAATAAGAGCCTTTGAAACCAGTCAGTTACTTTATAGGGGCTAATTTCTTCACATTTGTGATAGTATCTTGTACTCAGAAAATGCTTAAACATGATCAAAGTAAAACAGAAGGGAGAGTATATATCATTCTTTTACCTCTGAATATTGTGATATTGTGAAATTTGCCTAAACCAGATACTTGGTTCAAAACTTTTTGCGTCTTTTTTCCTAGCTAACACAATGGTGGGCGAAGAGATGTCTCTAAGAAAACGGCTGTCAAAGTCCAGTGACGATCCTGAAGAAAAGGAAGACCAGGGAAGCCCTGCAAAGCAGGCCCCAGAGACACCTAGTAATGGTGAGGCTTTTAATTTTTAGGTGAATTAATGAAAGAGAACAAATTCATTTCTAGAACACTGAGCCATCTCTTTAGCTCTCTTTATTATACATGGATATGCTGACAGGCACTGCAAAGATGCAGAAGGGAAAACTATACTGAGAATGTAAAGGAACACCAATTTAATTGTTAGTCACAGCCACTGTAGATACTAATGGTGACACGGCACATCTCATAGAGGTGAGTTTTATTGATGTAAATGGAGTTCGCAATGTATACTTAAATGTAGGATTTAAATTACATAGTGTTTCATGTAATGATAAATTAGAAAAACAAGCTCTTAATTAATTCAGTGAATATTTTTGGGGTACCTACTATGTTTTAGACACCATTCATCCATTTATTCATTTCTTTCTCTTTTTTTAATTGTTTTATTGCTTAAAGTATTACAAAGGGTATTACATATGTATCCTTTTTCCCCCGCCCTTGACAATCCCCTGGCTTCCCCTACCCCCCAGCGTCTTATGTCCATTGGTTATGCTTATATGCATGCATATAAGTCCGCATGTATTACTTTAGAATAATAATACTTTTAATCCTCAACCCACTCAATGTCTGCTCCCCGCACTTCCCAACCCCCTTGGCGTCCTGGACCAACCTCCTTGACCTTCCCAACCACCGCCTCCCCTACTGCCCCAAGTCCCCGGGAAAACATTTGGGGGACCGGGCGGGAGACACGGGGCTGCGGGACTTGGGAGAAGGGTGTAGGCTGTAGCTGGGGGGTCCATCGCACCCCCAATTCACGCCACTTCAGAGCGAGCCGGGCACTAGGAAAAAGGGGTGACATCTCCCTTCCAGCGCCCTCCGGCCTCCAGCTGGGTTGTGAGTGGAAGGTCCTGGTGGGAAGCGAAATTGCCCCAGCGTCTAAGTAATTGTGAGCTTTTCTCCCCGCCCCCACTTCTGCCCCTGCAGTCAGCGTCACCGTAGGGGGCAAGCAGTACCTCCTGGGAGTTATGTCCTCTTTCGAAAATTATCTATTTAGGTCCATTGCCCATTTTTTTATTGGATTGTTTATCATCCTTTTGTTAAGTTGTATGAGTTCCCTGTAAATGTTGGAGATTAAACCCTTATCAGTGATAACATTGGAAAATATGTTCTCCCCTGCAGTGGGCTTTCTTGTTGTTTTGTTGATGGTTTCTTTTGCTGTTCAGAAGCTTTTTATTTTGATGTAGTCCCATTTGTTTATTTTCTCTTTAGTTTCCAATGCCCTAGGATCTGTATTGGTGAAGAAATGCTTCGGCATATGTCTGAGATTTTGTTGCCTTTGGATTCTTCTAATATTTTTATGGTTTCCCATCATATATTTAAGTCCTTTATCCATTTTGAGTTTATTTTTGTGTATGGTGTAAGTTGGTGGTCTAGTTTCATTTTCTTGCATGTATCTGTCCAATTTTCCCAACACCATTTACTGAAGAGACTATCCTGACTCCATTGTATGTTCTTGCCTCCTTTGTCAAATATTAATTGAGCATATTGGTTTGGGCCAATCATTTATTCATTTCTTCAGAACCTAACCTACCAATGATTGGTGCCCTGCTAGGAGCTGAGGCTTACAGCGGTGATCAGTCCTCATGGAGCTCTGAGTTAAATGAATAAGAAACCCTCCCTCTGCAATTAACATAATTGGATTTTTATGAATAAGTGCTACTAATTACTCTCTTAATATAGTTGTAATGAGCCTGAAAGTAATAATAGGATAACTAACCTAGTTCACTACCGGGCTATAAATCTTGGGAGAGATAGAGAGATTAGGAAGTTTTATTCTTATATCCAAGTCTGTTTAGCACACGAATACAAAGGTAAGTATGACATAGTACTTGCTAAGGTCAAGGTTTATACTTAAGATTGATAGCTCCAACTTATATGTCATTTATTGCCTCAGGCTATTTATTTTTGCAATGACATTTGTATAGGTTTCATTTCAACATGGATTTGAAAGTTTGAGGCTTGTTTGGTTAACAAATAGAAGTGAAACTTTGAGACAAGTTGTCTGGCACCATGAACTTCTTAAATAAAGAAATATTCTTTTACTTTTCCTACTTAAATTTAATTGTAAATATGAGCAGCTGGATCCCCAAAATGTTTCAGCTTACATTTGCATAATGAAGTGTATTGATTGCTGAACTCTTAGTTAGCTACTTACAAAATATTTATATTGTATATGGGCTAGTTTTAGTGTGATATAAAATGGGAAATTTGAGCCAACATTGGATAGAAACATTCCCCTTTCATGATTTAGGGACTGGGTGATAATCCATTTTGTTTGTCTTAGAGACAGAAAAATTACTTTTTATTGAAACTGTCTATCACCAGATACAATTTTCTCTTTATGTCCCAATTTAAAAATGTGTTTAAATTACTCTAATTCTACATATTTTCAGTACTCCTCATTGTTTAGTTTATTAAGGTTTAACTATTCCAAGTTTTAGATATTAAAAATTGAATTTTTAAGCTTACTAGTAAATTAAGTATGACCTCCTTCTTGGATTAACGTTAAGTAATGATCATCTGAAAATAGATTGTGTTTCTCTAGTTATTTAAATATTTGGTCACTTTGGGGAATAAGCAGGTGGGTAAAATGTAGCCTTTGAGTTTTAAGGACTTAAAAGACACCATGCTACCCCAGACCGTGTGGCCCACCAACCAGGACCCAGAACATCTGCACCACCCGGTAGCTTATTAGAAACATCCCACCTCACATTTACTGAATAAAATTTCATTTTAATATTCTCAGGCGATTCATATGCAGGTTAAAGTTGGAGACATGCATCTTACTGGCAGAATACATACATATATATAAAATATCTGAACATAAAGAACATATTTTGTAACATATTTTATACGTCTTTCAGGCTTTTGTAACATGTTTTGAAAATCCCTTGGCAAAAAAATGAAAAAAAACTCCAGTTATTTTGTAATCTTGCACCTTCATCCAATATATGCATCTAATCATAAAACTGACCAGTCCACATAGAGCCTTTATCTACTGAATAGGTTGAGGGTACATTCCCTTCCTCCCCCCTTAGTATAAAGGCAAAAGCACGTTTGTTTTAGAAAAAGCAGAGAAGCAAAGTCCAAATGGTTGTGATTTTTTCCTTGCATACATTCCTAGAAATTGTTTTTAGGTCAAAGGGGATGCATATTATAAGATTATTTTGGTAGAGATTGCCAGATTGTCCTCTGGAAATATTGCACTCCCAGTGGCAATATGGGAGTACCTGTTACTTCAAACTTTTTTCAATCGTTGATGATGTAACCTTTTGAGTAAATTATATGGTATTCTGAGAGATGAAAAATTTCACTAACTTGAAAAATGCTTTGTGCAATGAGAGGTAACATAGTTACCAGCAGAAATAAAGTTACTGAGCATTAATTAATACTTTCTATAGCTTTTAAGGTCAAAAGAAGGAGATTGAATGTTTTAGCTCATTACAGGAAGATTAGTCAAAAGAAATGGAAGATATTAGCTGATACTTTCTTTGACAGCTTTTTAAACTTAAAAAAAAAAGAGTTATGCTAAAAAATCAGCCCATAAAAGTTTCACATTTTAAGAGGGCCTACAAAATATTGTCAGTGATTATTGTTTTCTGTGGTGAAATGTATTTGAGGCAAATTTGTCTTCTAGAGAGTTGCAAAAAAATCATTTGGGGCTCTGGCCGTTTTGACTCAGTGGGTAGAGCGTCAGCCTGCGGACTCAAGGGTCCCAGGTTTGATTCTGGTCAGGGGCATGTACCTTGGTTGTGGGCACATCCCCAGTAGGGGGTGTGCAGGAGGCAGCTGATTGATGTTTCTCTCTCATCAATGTTTCGAACTCTCTATCCCTCTCCCTTCCTCTCTGTAAAAAATCAATAAAATGTATATAAAAACAAACAAAAAACCCCACAAAAGCTTCTTTAAAAAAAAAATCATTTGGGTACAATTTTGCCCAGGCATAACGGGTACATTCAGTTTTAAATAATGGGGCATGAGGTACAACTTGACTATTTTGAAAGAAAGTCTATGATATGTTTTGCTTCTAATGAGATATTCTTCCCGATTTTATCTCCACGTGTTACCAAGACCCGGGGTAGGAATATAATCATAAATTGTAACAATTTTCTAATGGGGAAAATATTAATACAGTTCACTTTATGACAGTTTTTAAAGGTGTAGTTGCAAGAAATATGTATGGATAAAATGTTTGAGGAAAGAGCTTGTATTTTTTAATCTTTTCATTGTTCTATCAAGAACATTGTTGGCCCTGGCTGGGTAGGTAACTCATTTGGTTAGAGTGTTGTCCTGATATGCCAAGGTTTGATCTCTGGTCAGGACACATAAAAGAAGCAACCATTGAATGCATTAATAAGTGGAACAACAAATCAGTATTCTCTCTCTCTCCTTAAAATCAATAATAAAACAAAGAACATTCTGGAATCTAATTTTAATAACTTTATCAAAAGTTAAATCTTGGAATTCTAGGCACTTAGAATAAGAATTGGTCTTAGCTGTCATTTGATTATGCCCTTACATGCAACACATGCATCTGAGATTAAAGCCTGGTACTGCCTTCAGGTTAATCTAGTGTCCTTAAGCACCTTTGATCTATGTGTGTATAAGGCAGTGTACCAAGTTTGCTAATAGTTCAGATAAATACGATACGAAAACAGAAAGCAGTCCTATGTTATAAATAGGAGTTAAGTAAATTATAGTAACTAAATGGAATAGGAGACCAATAGGGTGAGGGTAGGTACCTTGCTTTAGAATGGAAGGAAGTCTCACAGAAGTAGAATTTGGCCTTTGAACAAGAGACTGGGAGAGAGCTTTCAGGCCAGAAGATAGGAGTTCGCAAAGGCATGGAGTTTAAGACAATATAGATTATGTGTATGGTGTTTTGTTTACTTTTAGAGAGGATTGCTGGGGGCAGGGGGAGTAGTACAGATGGATTTGTGTTTTGTTTTCATAGATAAACAGACAAAATTGGAAAGGCCAGGAGGAAGTGAGAAGGTAGGGCTTGAAGTCTTAACTGAGTGTGTAGTCATGACTGACTGCCTACATAGTGTATGACTTATAGCCTGTCAGTGCTTAATTTCCTCTTGCAGAACAAAGGAGGGTAAGTGTGAAAGCACTGTATGCAATATGATATTAAGCAAAACATATCATAGGTTCATTAAGGTATTATTTTATCTTCTCCTTGATGGTGCTGCAGCTCTCTGTCCCACATCCTTAGGTAGCTTTACAGTTCTCTGCTATATATATAATAAATCAACTAAGAATTAAAATCTACATGAGATCTTTTTGTTTGTTTTTTTTACATGAAATCTTTTCATATTTCTACCAGATATTCTCTCTTTGGATTTAAAAATAGGATCATATGATGTTATAAAAGTTTAAGTAGGCGTACAGTTATTTGTATGGAAAGAGACACACAGGTTATGATTATTGCAATAGTTTTATTAACTGTTTTGCATACTCACAACTATAAACCTACTTTTGCTCACCCCTGTGTGGATAACCCACACAGTTGATACAGGTGTGTGATAAAAGAAAAATAAACCAAAGTTAACCCCTATTGAGTAATATAGTTCCTGGATTTATTTTGATTACAGAATAGAAATCTGTTTTTAGCTTTGAAAAAGTTGTAGGCCAATTGTGATTGGTATTTCCATTTATTGCTTTTGTAGATTATTCACATTACCCCTTTAAAATCTCAATTTGTTGTCCTCATGCTAAATACTGGGGCTATTTTCTCTTAATAGTCCTTATTCAAGATATTTTGGTTTCATTAAAAAAATGCTGAAATATGCTTATAAATCTTTAAATTTAAAGTAATATATACTCATTTAAAAATGCAGGCATCATAG